CCTGTTCGGTGACAGCCGGGAGCGACAGCCCTGCCATGGTCATGAGGTCCCAGCTGGGCTTTGGGCTGAGGGACAGAGATGGGACCTGCAGGGCTGGGTGGGTACAGGGTGGGGGTCAGCCACTGCTCACCAGCCCTCCAAATCCCTCTGTACCCCCTCCTCTCTAACATGCCACCTCTTTCCTCTGTCACTGAGAGCCTTCATCCATCCCAGTGTGTCCCCCTCCTCTCCTTCATCCTCCTCTCCATCTCCCAAATCTGTCTCATCATGGGTTGGAGCTGCCCTGGTGCTGCCGTGGCTCAGCCTGACACCGTGGCTGGGGACAGGGCCAGCCCAGCAAGGGGGGAAGGGAACCCTCACCCCCACCCTGCCAGGGTCACCTCGGGCCAGGGGACGGGGTGGACAGCGAGGGAAACGCCCGAGCCTGCTGGTGTCCCCGGGGATAGAGCGTGCCTTGGCTGCTCTTGCAGGCCAGGGGAAGGATTGGAATTGGGTCACATCCCCTTGTGCCGGGGCTTTGGCTGCACCAACCGCGTGGCGATTAGGGACAAGGGTCCTTCTGCAGGATGTTTTGCATAATTTCCCCTTGTTTTGCAATTTCCAAGGGCTTAGGCGAGGAGAAAAGCCCTGCTTTTCCCATGCTCCAGTAGCAGCCGGTCCAGGCTCACCCATCCCTTGGCAGCTGCTCCAAAATCCGCTCTGACCTCCCCTCTCCGAGCTCCTGCTGCTGCTCCATGGTCCTAGCACCACCATTCCCATCCTGTCCCACCAGCAGGACTTTGGCTCCAGGGCAGGTTCTGCTCTGGTGTTGTCCCACTCCTCCATTTTACTGGAGCCTTTCCAACACCTCCCTGAATCCCCAGGGCTGGGGGAGCCCTCAGATCCCACCAGGACTGGTGCTGCCAGTGGGGCCAAAGGACAGTTCTGGCTGGGAACATCTGCAGGACCAGGATTCAGGGATAACCTGCCAATCCTGTGGCCAAGGGCATCGTGTGCCCTCAAAGTGTGTCACACGGCTGGCCCTGTCCCTTCCCACTGGCCCATGGCTATTGCTGCCTTTTCCAGGACCCCCCTTGCTGCTTCCTGGGGGAAACCACTCCAAAGACACCATCCCTGGGGGATGTGCCGGCCACGGACAAGGGGTTCTGCAGCGTTCCTTGTACATCCACAAAACAGGCAGAACAAGAGCATCACCTCTTCCTGCAGCACCTTCCATCTCCCTGCTCCAATTCCTCTTCCTGCAGCACCTTCCATCTCCCTGCTCCAATTCCTTTTCCTGCAGGGCTTTCCATCTCCCTGCTCCAATTCCTTTTCCTGCAGCACCTTCCATCTCCCTGCTCCAATTCCTTTTCCTGCAGGCCTTTCCATCTCCCTGCTCCACATCCTTCCCCTGCGGTGCCTTCCATCTCCTGCTCCAACAATCAGTCCCAACCTCGATCTGTCCTCCAAAGCCCACAGCCAAGGATAGTTCTGCTAGGAATGTCAACAAGAAATAGGAATGGGGCTGGTGGTGATGTGTTCTCAGACTAGACCAATGTGATTCATTAATTTCAATCACTGATTTGGTTGTGACTAAGATAAGGAAGCAAGAAACTTGTTAAGATATAACTTGCCAAATGTCATCTTCTTCTGCGTTTCTATATTTCGGTGGTTATCCTCAAAGGAATGTGCTTGGGAATGGTTAAATCCCACTGCTGACTGTGCTCAGGCTGTGTCAGCTGCCAGAAGCCGGGTGCCTGTGCTCTCCTCTGAGCAGTCCAGCAGTTCACAGCTGCTCAGGACTTTTCCTCATGCATTTTTCACACTTGATTATTAACTTTTATGTACTGTCTTCTCCATATCTGAATTGGTTGGTGACCTGTGTCACGAACACTGATCCTGCAGCAGCTCTGCTCTGATCAGCCTCAAAGCTTTGTGTTCCCTTGCACCCAGAGGTTGGAAGAGGAAACAAAATCTCCCGGTCTCTCAAGTCCTCAGCAGCTTGGGGACATATGGCTGCCAGGCCAGGACCACCACTGGCACCTGCTGGCAAGCTCAGCTTTTCTACCACCTGTTTTCCTGAGAAAACAAACCAAGTTCTCCCCACTGTTAATGTTTGATCAGGACCTGCCTGTTGCTCTCTGAACTCATCCCTGCAATAAAGGCGGGAGCTGTGGCGGGCCAGGAGCCGCTGGGTGTTGGATGCGGGCCCGGAGCTCAGCCCGCAACTCAAACAGAGCCCCGGGAGCAGGGCTGGAGGGGCCCTGCTGTCCCATCTGCCTGCTGAGTCATTTATGGGCATCTCTGTCAAGCCCAGGTATCTCTGCAGGCAGGGCGTGGCAGGGATGAGCCCACAGAGACACCCCAAAGATACTCCTGCTGGGAGGAGCCCGCACATCCTCAGGGCAAAGGGGAACAGGAGGGGATGATGAGGGAGCCAAGGGATGAAGGAACCTCAGAGGATGTGTCCTTCCACCTTGCAGCACCAGCTCCAGCTAAAGTGGATCCCTGAGCCCTGAGTTCTCCCCTGTCCTGGTCCCTGTCATCTCCTGGATGAGCTCTGGACAAAAGGAATTTTGTCAATCAAACATGGTTTTGGCTACACACTGATCTCGGCCAGCAGCACAGCACTCCTGCTCCCAGGTTGCTCATCCAAGCATCCATCCTCTGTTGGAGGAGTCGTTTCACCAGGGATGGTGGAGGGTGTAAAGGGGCAGTCCCAGGCAGCCCTCACCAATCCTCTGCTGGACACCACGGAGGTGGCAGATCCTTCCTTTTCCTTTGAGAACAGAGCTCTGAACTTTGACAGCTTATCCCCCTTCCGACTTCCCAGGAGTTCACAGATCCCAGCCTTTGATCCCAGCACAGCCAGGAGGGTCATGCCTGCCTTGAGCTGGGACTTGGCTCCAGCAGCTCCTGCCCACAGGGCTCAGCTCATCCCTCCCTACAGACAAACCCGCAGCCAGCGGCTCCTCGCTGTCCAGGGACACTCTCTCCCAAAGGCTCCTTTAAAGCGCCCCCAGGATTT